TTTTTTCTGGGATTTATTTATCTTCTATAATTGAAACTTTGTAGCCTTGAGTGGAGCCCAAGGGCAACCCAGGCTCTCAGCCCCTCCTTGAGTGGAGGCCATGGCCAGCTGGAAGCAGGTATCTGGGATTTATTTATCTTCTATAATAGAAACTTTGTAGCCTTGAGCGGAGCTGAGGGCCGGCCAGGGCAGGCGGGAAGCTTGGCTTCCTCCATCACCGGGGGCAACCCAAGCCTCCTGCTTGCTCCAGCTCCATGGCTGCTGCCATCTTAGTTGTATTAATTTGCATACTCGCTCCTGATTGGCTGGTGGGAATGGCTTGTGGACCTGGCTTGTGCGCAGCAGAGGGACAGTTAATATGTATGTTTCTCTTTTATTATATAGGATTATCTAAAAAGAACTGGCAAAATGCAGAAAGCCAAAACGAAAATAGTTACATTTAATTTCATTGTATAACCCCTAGAGGCCTGGTGCATGAAATTCGTGCACTGGGGTGGGGGGGAATGTCCCTCATCCCAGCCTGCACCCTCTCCAATCTGGGACCCCTTGGGGGATGTCTCACAATCTGGGACTGCTAGCTCCTAACCGCTTGCCTGCCTGCCTGCCTGATTGCCCCTAACCACTTCTGCCTTCCAGTCTGATCACCCCCTAACTGCTCCCCAGCTGGCCTGATTAACACCTAACTGCTCCCGTGCCGGCCTGGTTGCCCCCAACTGCCCTCCCTTGCCGGCCTGATCTCGCCCAAACTGCACTCCCTTGCTGGCCTGATCTTACCCCTAATTGTCCTCCCCTGCTAGCCTGATCTTTCCCCCAACTGCCCTCTCCTGCCAGCCGGATGGCTCCTAACTGCTCTCCCTTGCAAGCCTGGTCCCCCACAACTGCCCTCCCCTGCCAGCCTGAACTTGCCCCCAACTTCCCTTCCCTGCCAGCCTGATTGCCCCTAACTGCCTCTGCCTGCCTGATCACTCCTAACTGCCCTCCCCTGCCAGCCTGATTTCACCCCCAAAAGCCCTCCTCTGCCAGCCAATTTGGTTCTGAGTGGTCGGTTCTTATGCCAGTCAGTGTCAAAAGCTCCACCTCCTAGGCAGCCATTGGCTCCTCACAGTTGACCCAGATTTGGTTCTGATTGGTCAGTTTCTATGCCAGTCAGCATCGCTGGGCCTATTAACGGGGCCTGATCAGAAAGGCGGGGCTGACCAGCAGCCCCAGTGGAGTCCTAGAGAGAAATGGAGGCACGGCTGCTGGCCAGACCTGGAGAGAAAGAGAGAGGCAACTGCTGATCAACAGCTGCCACAGAGGCTATGGATCAGACCCTGCTTCTCTCTTCAGGCCTCTCTCTGGGTCTGATTCGCAGACCCCTCAGCAGTCATTGCTGGGTCACCACAGCAACCCAATGTTGACTGCAGGACTGACTTCCGGTTGGTCAAGCCTCTGGTTGTGAGGGACCCACAGTTTTTATATATTAGGATTATTAACATTCCAGACTATATGCTTCTGGGACCGAGAGTGGTCAGTGCGTCTCATAGTGACTGGTCGAGCAGTCGTTCTGGTCATTCTGCTCATTCCACCATTAGGGTCAATTTGCATATTACCCTTTTAGTATATACGATAGATGCCCAGTGCATGGGTGGGGGGCCGGCCGGCCCTTTCTCTGATGGGGCCCAGATCGTGATGGGGGGACCCCCACTGGGGGTGAGCTGGCTGGGGCAAGGGGCCACAGGCAGTTTGCAGGCTGACCATGCCCCCGATCAGGGTGGGGGTCCCCACTGGGGGACAGGGCCAGCTGTGGTCATTCTGGTCTCTGGTCATTCTGCTGTTTCAGTTGCTGGGCTTTTATTATATAGGATGTATGCCTAAGTATATTTCATTTTTATAAAATTAGAATGTATTATTTATTACCAGTTTATAATTTGCTTTATCAATTTACTTTTCTGCATATATTTATTAATAGTTGCATAATAGTTCACCATATATGTGCTCTATAATTAATTCTTTGGACATTTAAATTGCTTTTAATTTTTCATTCATAAATAATAGTAATCAGAAATAATCTAAATACACATATTTGGGCTCATATTTGATTATTTTTTGTAAGATCATAGGAAACCATTAATTTACATTAGTGGTATATGAGGCTTCTAGTTTCCATATAATCTTTCCAAGCCTGGGTAGTATATTACATATATTTTTTATTCACCCAGTCTAATCGCTTCTGTTCAACAAAGGGCAAGTCATTTTAATTCAGAGCCTTGGATTCCAAACCTGTAAAATTTACTAATGGGTATAAAATTCAGAACTGTAGTCACAGGTCATAAAGTTTATATTGAGTCCAGAGTCTGTTAAAGCTCAATATTTGAAGAGCAGCTTAAATGACAAAGGACTGTGGTGAAGGAGGGCTAACAACAGAGGAGGATGAAGAAATGACTGAGAGCATTTCCATGGTAATATCGGAACTGTCTAGAATGTCCCACTGTTGATGAGACCTATAGTTTCCAATTCAGAGAGTGATTTTTACCCAACAGATAAAATTCAAATTTATGATTATTTTTATTGCTGTCTGTCTTGCTAAAATGCATACAGGGATCTTTGTGGGGGTTTTGTTTGTTTGTTTGTTTGTTTCACTGATATAGCTTAAGCACCTAGGACTGAGTCTGACACATAATAGGGGTTCAATAATAAATGTCTATTAAATGAACAAATATGCAGAATGAAGCTGCCTGGTAACCTGGCAAAATGCTGCACACCCTCCCCAGGATAAGTGTGAGTGAGCTGCCATGATTGAGGTCTCTTGTACTTGCCTCTTCCCAACAGTACTCTCTGTGCCCCATGGTACAGTCTCTCTGATATGTTAATATCTTCAACCCAGTTAAGATTCAACTTCCCCTACTGAATCTGCATTCTTCACAGCGATGTTGGGTCTCTCAGCTCCAACTCACTATGGGTTGTCTTAATAGGTCAATATATAGAGTAGTGTTATTTCCATGTTCTTAGGGATAATCCATTCTTCTCTTTTGTACTACCTAGAGCAACCACCTAATAGGGGAGTTGTGAGTATATTTTATGAGATAACACACAATGTAAACATATAGAACAACTTACCTAGGGAATACAATGTGGTAGCTAAAAGCCTGGGCACTGGAGCCAAATCTCCACAGTTCAGATCTGGGGTTTGCAAATTAGCAGCTGTGTCACTTTGAACAAATTACTTAATCACACTGTGTTTAGTTTTCTCATCCGTACACTAGTAAGAGTATCTACTTTATAGGATTAATGTGTGAATTAAATAAGTTAAAACGTGAAGAAAAAGAAATTCTAAGTAAGTATTGCCTATTTGATAAATATTATAATTACCAGTAATAATAATTTCTTTGAAAGTTTGTTATGAGCCAGAAACCAAATATATATATATATATCTCAGGTCACCCTTTAAAAAACTCTATGAACTAACTATTATTGTTATCCCTACCTTATAAATGAAGCTCAGGAACTTATAGTAATGTCCTAAAATCATAGCTAGTGAGTGGTAGAACCTTGTATTAAATGCAATGCTATCTGAAATATTCTCTCACAGATAAATTGTTCTTAACAGAATTTGAAGCATCTGCATTCTCTTTGACATTATGATTTCCAGTATCTGATTTCTAGCCTTTTTAGCCATGCCCACAACCTTCGAACATTTTAAAAGAAACTAACTTTAAATACATGTGAATACTTAAACATTCATCTATTGGTCTGAGGGTCAGTCTCTAAGGTCTCTTACCGTCACTTATATTAATTTGAATGTGGTCAAGTTCACCAATCTCTGTATTTCCCCTACTAGGATTTTAGCAAAATCCATCAGTCAATTAAATAATTAAGTACAATTTAAAAGCTATAGATTGGCAAATGAGGACCAAAACAAACCATTTGCATTCCATGGAGTAAGCTTGGTAAGTTTATAAACTTTATAATCTCATGGAGAAACACACACACAAACAACAACAACAACCACCCAGCATTCATTGCAAGATCAAAACCTAACCATTTTGGGATTCATTTTGAACAGCGTGTTGAATTACAGGCGCTCTAACCTAATAGTGGTGTTCCACCCATTGTGGAAGTGTCCTGACACCAGCAGTAGCTGAGATTCATCTATTGTAAAGTAACTGGTTGACAGCATGCCCTGCCAGTGGCCAATATCCTTCTCATCACAGTGACAGACTGGAAATGTAAACCCTTTCAGACACCCTTAGCAGACAAAACAATGAAAACTGGAAAACAATCTATTTGTCAGCATTAACCCAGCCGCTCTTTTTGTGAACATGATTTGCTATGTTGTATTTGACAGATTATTTTTATATCCTTTAGAATTATCTTGCTTTCATTAAAATACACTTGCTGGAAGCTAATTCCAGCATGGCATAATAAAATGCAAAAAGTTCATCAAAAGGTTGATGAATCTTGAGGCTTTAGCAAGGCTGAACATCTGCATATATTATTGCCTGCAGCCTGACAGCCGAAGGCAGTTTCCCCAACCTGACAATGCCTACTGTATACAAAACCTTACCTTTGATATGTATATCTGCTTTGCTTTAGGGCAATTTGTGTTAATAAAAAGCTAAGGGTCCAGAGATTCAGAGAACATGGTTACTGAAGCTAGGTCTCCTCTGGCTCCCCAAAATGCCTTCCAAATTTATATTTCATGTCTAGTCTCTTTATTAATTTACTCGCAGCCCTTATCCAGATTCCTGAACCCTTCTAGATGCAGGGAAAGACCCCCGACATACACTATAGAATGTTCTCTTACCCTTTTCCAGGTGAATGAGTTGTGATATTTGCTAAAAATGTTTTTCATAGACAAGAGATTTAGATAGTATATTGACAGCTAACACAGCCATGAAGGCAGAATGATGTAATTTGTGCATGATGCCTATTTAGGGAGCCTATTAAATGTTAGCTCTGATGGCATAGGTTTGCACAAGATTCAACTTGATGTTTGAAGATTTTATTTTTCTCGACAGGTTAATTATGTATGGCTTTGTGAAAGCTATGGTATATGCTGACCAATTGAACAATGGAGACTTCCATTTCACTGACTGCTTGTTTTTTGGTTCACTGATGTCGGCAACAGACCCAGGTAATTGCTCACCCAATATGCTTTCTTTTGAAGAATCAAACATTTAAATTAAATATTTTCTAAGACCATCATCTAACTCTACACAGTAATTTCTTATTCTTATTTACTTGCAGTTGATATATCTGTTAGTGATTACAAAAAAAAATAAAAGAAACAGGTGAATATTTTAATAACTCCAAAAAATGGATCTGAAAGCAACTTCAGTAGTGGGAAGCATGCTTTAAAATTTATTATAGTTTATTTCTCTAGAATATATAACCATTTTGAGTTACAATTCTTTTTTTTAATATATTTTATTGAGTTTTTACAGAGAGGAAGGGAGAGAGATAGAGAGTTAGAAACATCGATGAGAGAGAAACATCGATCAGCTGCCTCCTGCACATCTCCTACTGGGGATGTGCCCGCAACCCAGGTACATGCCCTTGACCGGAATCGAACCTGGGACCTTTCAGTCCGCAAGCCGACGCTCTATCCACTGAGCCAAACTGGTTTCGGCTTGAGTTACAGTTCTTAATTTTTTCTAACTTATCTTTTTCCCAAAAATGATCTGTTGAATTAAATGATAAAAATTATTTACTATAGAACTTTTCAAAAATATTAAGACTATGGAGAATTAAAATAATTATCTTCCACCCTTCAGCAGTTATCAAATATGGCCAATGTTTTTAACTGTACTCACCTACACTCCCTCTTTTTGTCATTATCATTATTAGTTTGTGTGGTAGTTTGTATGAATTCAGATCCAAATAAGGACTACATATTACAATTGACTGATATGACTATTAAGTCTCCTTTAATCCATAGGTTCCCTTCCATTTTCTTTTTTTCTGATCATTTATTTGTTGGGGGAAAAAGGCAATTTATCTTGTGGTTGAATTAAATATGGTTTCTTCTTTGTTCTTCTATCTTCTATTTCTTGTAAACTGATAGATAAATCTAGAGACTTAATCAGATTCAGATTTATTTATTTATTTATTTATTTATTTATTTATTTATATCTATCTTGGCAAGAAGGGATTAAGAAGTGCAGATTGTAGTTACCGGGATGTAAAGTATAGCATAGGTAATATAGTCAATAATATTGCAATAACTATGTATGGTGTGAAATTGGTGGGAGATTTATCCTCAGGATTATCATTTAGTAAGTTATGTAATGTCTAATCACTGGGTTGTACACGTGAAACTAATATATTGTATGTCAACTGTTTTAAAGAATAAAAAAATTATTTTAAATAAAAAATAAATTAATAAATAAAACAAAGCAAACAGACAATGAGTATGTACAGTGTGATGATATTTATGCATTTATATGGAAGCACATCTATGTCTGTAAAAAAGAAAATTTCATAGAAGTGATAAAATTAACCAGTCATTTTTATATAATGTTAGTAAAACACTTTGAAGTATAATGACAGGATCTTGAGGGAAAAATCTTCAAACTCAATATGATATCGTGCATGCCATGACGTAAAAAAATGTTCAGTGACTTCACATATTACATGTAGGCTGCACACCTTGACATGCTCAGGCAGCTAACAAGTGTTAAGAATCCCCAGTGCTTGATGATGCCTGAACCCCGGAGGCTGGCTTTCAGAAGGCTCATGTAAATGGAATTTAGAAAATTCACTCTGGCATTATCCTGTCTAGAGTCTAAATTAATGCATGGGTAATGTATTTATTGAAATTAGATGCCAAGAGGAATACAGAATACAAAGTCAAAGTCTCTGCTTTGCTAATGTTGAGTCCAACCAGCTTCTACTTGACAAGTGTTATAGCCCTATGTTATTGCTATTATTGCCAGCTGGGAGATCTGAGGCTTAGTTTAGTTCCTGCTACTGACTCACAGGATAGATCAGGTGGTACTTAACCTGTCAAGGCTTAGTTTACTTACATATTCCTAGAGGGATTAAAAGATTGCTGAGGTCACTTCCTGCTCTACCTTAGTAGTTCTTCAGCTTGTGCATGCTACACTCACAGAACTTACATGGGGAGTTGGTAAAAATGGAGATTACCTAGCTCCACCTCCAAAGATTGTGATTCAGTTGGACTGGGGTGGGATGCAAAACTGCAGTTCTCACAAGTGTCTCTTGCTAATGGTGCCAGGGCAGACACCTGAAGAATATAAGTAAAATTGATGAGGGAAATATTCACATTTCTGAGCAAATGTGATGAATTATAGAGAATGAAGTAGGCTAAGCTCTGATGTCTTTAGGCTGAGTTAAATATCAGTTTATGCACTTGTAGGACAAGTATGCAATTTCAAGGGTGACATTACTTTTTATCGTAATTGTAATAAAGGTGAATTTCCCCTACCATATGTGTTCCCTCCTCAGAAGACATGATCCAGAAGTCCTAGTTCCCAGGGCACTGAAGAAGAGTAGAAAGTGCTGTTAGAAAATTTCTGAAACTTGCACCTCCTGGAGTAGAGACTTCCCTCCTTAGAGGGCACCAGCTGGCTTGTTTCCTGGCAGTCTCAATTATCCATTTTTCCCATTATGTGCTACCTAAAATTACCATTAAGTGTTGTCCTAATTCTGGGGCAAATTGAACTCAAGGGCAAGTGTGAGCTAGGGCACTAGGGAATGTCCCCAGCTCCTATGTTTGTGATTAAACCTTCTGACAGCTCCAGGAAATTCTCCTCATAAAAGAATTAATTCAACCCTAAGAGGAACTGCCACTAAAAATAAAACAGGCATGGGATGGGATAGGAAAGTTACCTTAAAATGAGGCCAGGACAGGGCCTTCCAGTGGCCAGATCATCCTGGGTATTGAAAGGTCTGCTCATTAAGACTAGAGTCATGGATGAATGAAGCACCGCTTTCAGGGCTTCAACTTTTCTAAACCTCACTTGTCACGTCCTTAAAATAGATACTATAAACACAAAACAAACCAGAAATGGTTACAGAATTGCTGTAAAATAAAACAAAATGCTATATAGAATTTTTTTTTGTAAATTGCTAAGCATTAATAAATAAAATATTACTAACAATGGATTCTTCCAAGGAACATTCTGGCTTTTTTGATAATACTGTCATAACAGTGTTATGTTTATAATTGAACATAAAATTGCCAGATATCTATTATTTTTTAAGTAGCCATGAGGAAATAATTGTTTTCTCTTCATATATTTTACTAGCCCAAACACTTTTATGGTAAATAACAAATGTAAATAGGTTAAAAAGGAAACATAGTCAAATGATATTTACCCTTATATAGGTTCTCTACTTTTTGTAATATCTGCTGACATTTAAATATTTAAAATTCAGACTACTTGTCCTACACTTCCAGACACTGCTTCTGTAGTCACATTAGGCATTGCAAAATGTAGTATAAAGGCTTAGATACTAGCTCTGGATTATATAAATCATAGTCCCCTGATAGAATAATTGAACATGGGTGCTCAAGCCTTTTATTTCCTGCTCACTCATCCCTCTTCACCCCATCCTATCCCAACCACAAAATGTAGAGCCAAGTTCAGATTTGTGTTTGGGTTGATATTTCAAGCCAGTTCCACTGTTTCCCTAATTAAAGGATTCTTTGTTTTGTAAGTTGACTGCCAGTCTACATCCTGAGCCAGTCACTGTAGCTTATCCCATGTGATGTGTATCTGCAATCATCATTGCCCGTAGCCGTGCTCTGAATGCCTGGACAAAAAATACGGCTTCTCCTCCTGCAAGGTGTTCAAGGGGTGTGGGTGGGGGGCGTCCCTGTAATGATCTCTCCAATGTGGCAAAATGACTATTATTCCCTCCTTGGCATAATCAGACAGAAGCACTGCACAGATGTGTGGCACTGAGTTTTCATCTTTTCAATTATTAACACTTTAAGCAAATAAGAGATTTCCATAATGAAAACATTTTAATACACCATAATTGCAGGTCATTCTTTTCATTTAACCTTTAAGTTGTAGGGAAAAAGCCACCTTCATCTTTTAAAGTTTGCTGCAGTGTAATTATTCCAGAAGCACATGAACTATCTTACCTTTGACTGTGTTGATACTGGGAAAACCCTTTCTATTTGCGGTTGCTATCGTTACTGCTGCAGGGTGATGTGTGAGCTGCACTGCTATTTTGATAAAAATAGGTATTAACTACCAGTCACAGAGCTTCTCATTTCACAGTAGCTCATGCAGATGAACAACATATTGGAAAAAGGAAAAGCCTTTCCAAATAGCAAGAGGGAACATCTACATAAATAATGGTGATTGGTCATGTGTATAAAAATATTTTTAATTAAAATTTTTTTAATCAAACAGCATTTTGTTGAATCCTGCTCTGCTCTTTGCACTGAGCTTAGCCTTGAGGAAGATAGCTGATTAAGAGACCAAAGAACTTAAAATTAAACGCGGAACTGTTATTTTTGGAGAAAAGCTCTCCCGTAAGGGTGACTTAATTGGACTGTCTCCCATATTTTTTCATTTATCACTGAACTCTTTAGTTAAAATTCTGATTTCTTTCTGAAACGGGAGAAATGATTGCTAACACTGTCGTTCGTAATCAGAAGGGTTTTTATTTTTCAATTGTGGTTTTTCTTCAGTCCCTTTGATTACACACTCTCTTCAGTGTTATTTGCAATATTTAATTGTGGTCTTCATTATTTCCTTTTGTTTGGATTTCATCTTCTTTTTAAAGTCATCTTTATTGTGTTTGGGTTTTTTTCACATCTGGCCTCATCTGCCTCTGCATTTTGGTTTGTGGTTTACAACAACAACAAAAACACAACTGAATAACTTTCTATTCACAGACAAATAAATAAGAAATATTAACTAAAAATGCAATTTCTTCAGTACCAGGGTTGGCTCAGAAAACAAAACAACATTCATTGAATATCTGCTAAGCAGCATATGATGAGATGATTTTATACTCATATTCTGAAAAGGAAAGGCTCACACACAATGTAAGGCTCATGGCCTGGAACCATTTGCCCAGTTACCTGGAGAGAAACTTGGGTGACACTACTTCTAGTATCTAGCACTGGTAGAACAGTATTATATTAGTATT